TGTCCTCCACTACCTCCCGCAGTTTGGTCAAACTCATGCTGGTAACCTCAAAAACACTATCCAACCATCTCATCCTCTGTCGCCCCCTTCTCCTTGTGCCCTCCATCTTTCCCAACATCAGTGTCTTCTCCAGGGAGTCTTCTCTTCTCATGAGGTGGCCAAAGTACTGGAGCCTCAGCTTCAGGATCTGTCCTTCCAGTGAGCACTCAGGGCTGATTTCCTTAAGAATGGATGCGTTTGATCTTCTTGCAGTCCATGGGACTCTCAAGAGTCTCCTCCAGCACCATAATTCAAAAGCATCAATTCTTCGGCGATCAGCCTTCTTTATGGTCCAGCTCACTTCCATACATCACTACTGGGAAAACCATGGCTTTAACTATACGGACCTTTGTTAAAGCAAGTTCTATAACACCTTGCACCTTCTATAACTGTGTATCTTCCTCCTTGCAGGCCTTCAAGCACTTTTCTGGAAATAGAAGTCTTGAAAGCCCATCCAGTTCACTCTTGTTGCTTGTGCAGGTTAGGTACTGCCACAAAGCCAAATAATCTGAAGTCAAACTGCAGCAAAAGCCGTGTATGAAGGGACTACCCTATGGGGTGTGGTGGTTTTAGCTGCAACAGTGCAGCCATCAGCCTCAGCTAGGATAGCCAATGGCCACAGATGATGAAAACTAGCCTGCTCAGCAACTTCTGAAAGCCACTTGTGCCTGCCTGCCACCTTCTTCTTCTTCTTCTTCTTCTTCTTCTTCTTCTTCTTCTTCTTCTTCTTTATAAAGCGCCTTATACCCATAGGCCTCAGGGCAGTTCACAACATAAAGTACAAAATATGTAATAATTTTTTTAAAACAGTTAACAATACAAGCTAAACAATCCCACTAACATTCCCCAACAAAAGCTCCTACACAATACCCCAGACCACAAATACAGATAAAAAACCAAATTAACATATAATGTTTAAAATCATTGTAAAACAACCTGACCCAAGTTGAAACCCTATTCCTTAGTGGGTGGGGCTAAAGAGGCAGCAAGGGACAGGTTTTTGTTTGCAATATTTTGAACTTGTTGAGATGTGTGCATTCCATCTTTCAGATCATGGATGGGGAACTAATGACTCTCATCAACCTTGGCAACTAACCACGGTGACTGGGGTTGATGGGATTTGGAGTTGAGCATCTGGAAAGCCACATATTGCCCACCCGTTTTAGGTAGATAAAGTTTATTTTTATGTGTCATATTAAATACATTGTATCTTAAGCCTTTGAGATAGGGTGCAGTGAAACAACATAAAATTAATTCTGTAAAGAAATCGACTCCACTTTAACTGACACTACTAAGTTTATGTATACTATTTCCAGTGTTTTTCTTGGCTGTTATAATACAGGATCTGAGAATTGTTTCCATCAGGGAGCCCCTGCTTTAAAAAACAAGAGTTTGGGATTGTTGTCCTTTAGTGACCACTGTGGTTGGAAGTTCTCATATGTCTCACTGTGTGGGTCTTCCAAAAACATTCCAAGATGCACACAACCCATCAATACGCATACAGAGCATGAGAACGACATGACTATTTCTCTTGGCATCCACTATTAAGAGGAGATTCATAGGGTTGGAAGGCACTCTAAGGGTAATCTAGCCCAACCCTGTGCAATGCAGGAATCTCAACTAAAGCATCCATGTCAGATGGCCATCCAGCCTCTGCTTAAAGGCCTCCAAGGAAGGAGAGAGCATTCCCCTCCCGAGGGAGTCAGCTCCACTGTCAGAACAGCTCTTACTGTTAGTTAAGTGCTCTTATCAGTATCTAAAAGAATGAACTAGGTTGCAAGAGCTACAACTAAGTGATGGTACTATCCAAGCGAATGGGTAGGCCTCTCTTCCCACACTCAGCTGCTACATAGAACAATAGCCAGAGTTGTGAGCTGAAAAGCTGAAGATTGAGCCATGTTTTGCTCTGTGCTGGACTTTGGGGCTCCCCTGGAAACATAAGGCAAAGCAAGATCTGTTGGGGTGTTAATGCTATGATCATGCCCCACCATCCTACGCACAGGTTGTATATATGTGTAAATATAACCATATGTCCTAAATACATCTACAGCCTTAACTGACATTTGTTCTAAGGAAACCACACCCTGGGAAAACACTTGGGACCCTTGGAGTCTCTCACCATTCAGAGACTAGGGTTGTAACATTTTACACTGGTACCTCAGGTTATGTACTTAATTCGTTCCGGAGGTCCGTACTTAACCTGAAACTATTCTTAAGCTGAAGCACCACTTTAGCTAATAGGGTCTCCCGCTGCTGCTGCGCCACCAGAGCCTGATTTCTGTTCTCATCCTGAAGCAAAGTTCTTAACCTGAAGCACTATTTCTGGGTTAGCGGGGTCTGTAACCTGAAGCGTATGTAACCTGAGGTACCACTGTACAACATGCATCTCTCCTCTTTGCATGCAAATAGCACTGATAATTGTAGCTTGATGGTTTTTAGTTTAGTAAACAGAAACACTGCTCTGGGGCTTTCTCTTTGAGTTTCCAATTAGGGCATCACAACAGGAATGACAGTACTTCAAGATCATGCAATGGGCCATTTTCCTAGAAGCACTCTATCACTCTCATTGCCAGCTTGGCTTTGAATACTGCTAGGGAAGTTACTTTACTCTTCAAAGAATAGAAGGCAGAGATGTATGTGTTGAAAAATATTGGAATGTACTTTTAATGCCTAAGACAATCCAAAAGGAGTTTTCTGCATCTGCTGAGAGATGAGACTTTGGGGAGCTCTATGTTGTGAGGTCTGATTGCTGCTGCTGCTGCATGGCTGCTATTACGGTATTGCCATAATACCCATTCATCCTGTGCAATTTGACATTAGAAGACTACAAATTACAAAAGCACCCATTCAGGGGCTTCTGCACTGTGCCATCTCGAAGAGCTGGGAAGCCACAGAGAAGAGACTTGCACTTTAAGCCAGCAGTATGTTGTGAGACTGTGAAGAAAGAGCTTGAGGAGCAGGGCAAACAGTTTAGTGCATTGAAAGGTACCTGCCAAGTGCAATCCTACTAACTCTCCTAAGAACCTAAGATTAGCCAGCTGGATCAGGCCCATCGAGTCCAGCATACTGTTTTCGTAGTGGCCAACCAGATGCCTGTGGGAAACCAGTAATCAGAAGTTGAGCACAAGAGCATTCTCCCCTTCCATGGTTTCCGGCAATTGGTATCTGGAAGCATTGCTGCCTCCAACTGTGGAGGGAAGCATAGCCATCAATAGCCCTCTCCTCCATGAATTTGTCTAGTCCTTTTTTAAAGCCATCCAAGTTGGCGGCCATCACCACCTCCTAGGGGAGCAAGTTCCGTAGTGTGACTATGCGCTATGTGAAGAAGTACATTCTTCCAGCATTCAGCTTCGTATTTCATAGAATGTATGAAAACCTTTCTAATCTCTAAGGCAGCATACCCAATGGCTTATTCAGTGAGGAAGGTTGTTAGAAACAGGCAGCATGTATGGTACAGGGTATCAGAAACCAGAACAGTGGGAGAGCAGTGGAACAAACACTTATTAGATCTGCCCCTCTTTGCAGATCAATATTTTCCATGTGCAATTCTTCAAGTGTGCATATGAACCATAATTGCAAGTCTTAACAGTGCCACTGGGCACTGGGTTCTGCTTCCTGGGCAACACCCAACAGCTAGGTGAATGTATGCCTCTTAAACTACCCAGTTTTCCTTCCATGTATTCCATCCCTCTTATTGCTCTGTAACTTTCCATGAGAAAATTGGTCACATCCAAAAAGGCAGCATAAAAAGATATCCATGCTGTTCAGAAATATAAAAATGGTGGCCTGTACATCCATCTTTCCAAGTGATCCTGCCCGCTCAGCAGTTCCACTAATCCACATCCCTCTGTGCACTGACACCAAAATTCCAGTGTAGCAAAAAATTCATTCTATGTTATTTAATAAATTATAGGATAATTTAATAAATTATCCTAAACATCTTAAGTGAAAAAAGCAAAAACATTAGAACTCCCCACTGTCAAACATCTTTCTACTGTAAGGCAAGACACAAATCAACAGAATCCTAAGATGTATCTGACAAGATGCACAGACAATCTAATACAAAAGTTAAAAGCATTGCACATGAAGAATTCAGGGGGTGGAGTGAGCAGCCAACCCACTTAGCTGATTCCAAGACATTTCGTCTTCAGCAAAATTGCACGTTTCCCATCCCAGTGGAGGAAAGACGCTGGAAGGTCACATATAGCTCACTCACACAAGTGTTTCCAATCAAAAGCTCCTTCCCAAAATTATCAACAGTGCTGGCGTAAGCTTTTTTTAAATAAAAAAACAACCACCATGGAAGTGAAAAATATGTTCAGAAGAAAAATAAAAACAATTGTTTTTATAAGAACGATGAAATCACATCCTTATACTTTAGTTTTGAAAGGAACGTGAGAATATTTTCTCAAGCTTGGCAAGACATGATCATTGCAACTCAAGAGGGCACGCCTGAGGATATTCTGGCTCAAAATAAATAGTAGCTTGTGCTTTTACTCTTCCATAAAATGTAACCATTGCTACCATGTGCCACCATTACTAAAAATGACCCTACCACATTTAGACAGATGTCTGAGATTATGATCAGGATTTAAAACAACCATGGAAACTATTTCAGCACAACTAAAGGGGTTTCAGGCTATTTCTTGCTCAACCAGGAGTTCACTCCCCCACCCCCCGACTGCATTTGAAAGTGAGATAGTTCAGCTTGGTATCAGATCACTTTGGGGATCTTTTCTGGAGAGGAGACAAAGGCTTTAAGCTAGGCTAAAGGAGTCTTGCCCCTGCAAGCATCCATGGGATCAGAGCAGGTTTAAAGAGAGATGTGGAAGAATGACAATTTGCAATTGGTATGATTCCAACCATTTTAGATTTGAGGCAGCTCAGTACATTACTTCCTATAATGTTTTTATTTCCCTACAGATATTAAGCTGCATGGCATTTGAATGAGACAAGACAAAGACATTGAAAGTATTCATTTTATTAAGTATTTTTTTAAAAAAAATCTTTTCAAGAGCCATTGCATCTTCAAAAATAGCATATACATAGGTAAAGAAGTATCAGTACAAAACTCACTACAAATATGTAAACAAGTTGACAGTCTGTTACAGATGGGAAAGTTAAAGCTTACAGTCTTAAAGCTGCAATTAGTCAATATGTTGAAATTGCATTTGTAAGAGCTGGTAAGTAGAAGCAGTCCTTGAAAATAGTTTAATGTTTCTTTTGCATAATACGTAGTTCATTCAACATTGATCTATCATCTTTCAACAAAATACCTTGTTTTTGACGTGGTAAAACCATTATATTTAATTTGCAGCAATTATTTTGCCATTCTTTGAATCCAAACAGATCTTTGAATCCAAGAAGCTAAAAAATGGATTTTAAAAATGGGAGAAAGGAATTGCTTTTCATTCATTTCACTGAAGGGCAACCTCACTGAGTGAGTGTCCAAGGAATGTGCCACTTGTAGTTGCCATGGGTGCACACCATAGTCTTTCGATATACTTGAACCAGGAAGATTCAACCCACCAAGAGCTCCCTTTGTATCACACCCATACCATACAAGTACAATCACACCTGCACCATACACATGCAAGCACTACATGTAACTTTTGAGTATTCATGATACAAGTACACACCAACAACATAACATACAAAGCAGCCCTTAAGCCTTACAAATTTTCAGGATGAGTCTGTTTGACTAAAGGCATGGATATATTTTAAAAAATAGCTGAAATAACATATCATTTCGCAATCAATTCCTATACAGTTCCTTTGAAATTATCTGGTTGGATCAGTTGTAGGAAGATACAAAACTGTTTTGTCTGACCCAGTATGGTGTGTGCTTCTACATAACAAGCCACAAGTTATTTTAAAAGCAAAAGTGGAAGACACAAGTTGAAAACTAGGCTGGCTTATTTTAGAACTACGGTCCTCCAGTATGTAGGCTTCAAAAAAAACCTAAGGCTGATTTAAATTTTGTTAACAGAGGGATTATACAACAGAAAGACTTCTGAAAGATAATGCTGGGAATACACCTCCAATTCAGATACTATACTCCTTTCTCCCTACACTCAGTGTAACCACGTTAGTAACTACTCTGAGGGCCAAACTAGAGAAGATACCATTCAACAATTAGCAGCTACATAGGTGGCTTTTTAAAAAGAAATTGCAGCCACAGAGACATCAGTCTGAATTGGGAACTTTGTGTGGGAGTAGCCCCCCCCCCCCCCGATTTTCAATTGGGGGGATGCTCCATGCCAATCAGCCCCATCCCCAGCAGCTGTAATTTACCTTTTAAAAAATCAATCATGTATCTAATTTTGTGAACAGCATCTTAGCAAGTTGGGTACAAAAATGTAAAAGCAAGCATTGTTTCTTATTAAAATTCTGTTTCCAAAGCTGAAGAGAAAACAGTTCTTTAGTTCCTTATTTGGGGCAAGCTGTCTGTATTCAGAATAAATGGTAAATTCTTTTCTGGAGAAGAGACACTTCCACATGGCATGAATTAAAAATTGTGAAGCATATACATATTTGGAACCACTTCCTTTGGAACCACTTTACCAAGTTAAAACCCTAGTACCAACATATATAACAGCAGCAATTTTTTCAAGTGTTCGGTTAAAAAGTGTGCAGCACTCAAAGCTGTGAAGATCAGGCTTAAAATGTGAACCTCTTTTCATGATTTCTTAAATAACATTTAATGGCTGAGGGTCTGACATGGTTCTTGCATCCAGAAGCATTACTAAAACTCCTGGTTATTCTAATAGTTTTGGAAGATTCACCTGTCTAAAAAGTCAAGACATTCCTCAGGAATCTAGCCAAAAATAATAGTATTTTGTGAGCCGGATGTTCTAAATCTTGATATTCTTAAGTGTTCACTACTTAACACTTAAGAATATCAAGATTTAGAACATTTCAAGTGCTACTCTTGAATGGCATAACGAACATCACAGAAGTGTATCAAGTTACCACAAGCTCTACATATTATGCTTGTTTTACATAAGATATGTACATATATGTAAGCCCAACTACCCAGTTGCTCTGGATCGTATCCAACAAAGTATTTCAGTATCTGGCTGTGTAGCTGAACTTTCCTTCCCTCTCCTTTCTTCTCCCATGAGAGCCCTAAATCTGTTCTGGGGTTTCACCAACCCTCTGCAGCGGATTTGGGGAGGACATGCAGGGAAAGGGCAAATATGACACTGCAAATGCTTGGTTGCATACCACCCTCGTGTTCCTGAAATGGCCTTCAATTCTCTGCGGTGCGCCAACATAAAACTTTCAATGTTTTACAAAAGAATAAAAAAAAAACAAGCACGATAAAAAGCATATGCAAGATGATTATTAAACACTAGAAACACAGGACTCTAAAATAATAGAACAACTAAATTTAGAGTGTGCAAGTTTTTCCTGTTTCTTGAGTTTGACATGTCTAGTACACGGTACACCATACGACTGCTGGTATCCAACAAAAAGGTTTGAAATCTTTTGGGTCTTGTAGTTAAATTCCTTTATATACATTCCAAAAAGAAAAGGCACCTGGCCCATATTGCTCAGCTGCGTGCTCTCACATGCAGCAGTGAACCCATAAGAGAAAGTCCACACGAAGATAAACTTGATAAGAGTTGCATGCAGAAAGTGCTAAGTTCAATCCCTGATGGTCTCCAGGTGTTGCTTGGAGAAATATCTGTCTGAAACACTGAGGAGGTGCTGCCAGTGTAGACTATACTGAACTAGATAAGACCAACGGTCTGACTGTGTGTTGCAGCTTTCTGTGTTCCTTGGTCAACACTGCATTGAAAAAACCAATTAGAACTGCAATACTACAGATCACAGCATGCAAGTGTCCAGTTACAGATAGCAAAGGGACCTGTGTAACACGTTTGTTGTGGCACAAACATCTGTGGACTACAGTGCACATCTACCTGTAACTCAGGGTAACACTTCATGTATCTGTGAACTGTAGTTCATGGAAGCTCATGCCTGTTGTTTTTGCTGCAAAAGACTAGCACAGGGGCTGCTCTGGAAAGAGATAATGTTCTGAGTGATCAACTCGGCTGTATGCACAGGCTACCCTCAAATCCCTGGTTACAGTAAAGCAATATACAAACCTCCAAACAATGAAGCAAGTTATGTGAGCCTTCTGGGGTTGTTGTTGTTATTTTAGTTCTATACTGCAAATTCATATAAAATATATCTATGCAGCGTACAGAATTTCACCTAAAACCAACTTCAGACTCAATAAAGCAGTCTCCCCATGTCACATAGCAGTGAGGAAATTATCAAAAGCAGTTTGTCATGTTTTAAGAAAGTGAATTCCACTAGGTAGCAGAAACCCCTTGAACGGCCATAAGTTGTTCTTTGGATCCAAGCCATTAAGAGATTAATTGTGAATGACTTTTTCTTTCACACTCAATACTCTTACATTGCATTTTAAGAATTTTTAAGGAATCTAGCACAATGATGCATTCAAGTATAAGCTTTCCAAGTATAAAAAGGAAATTCTGGAAGTGCTGAGATTTTCAGTAAGTGTTGGCATTAACCAAGCACAATGCTCATCCACAAAAGCCACAATTAAAAGTCTCGTAAGAGTCAGCCGTTAAATTATTTCACTTATGAAGTACAAAAGCGTAATGTGCTAACCTAAACATATTAGCAATTAGTTTTAAGAAACTGAGATTAAACATAACTCCACTCTTTAAAGCAATATATTCTTACCACCATGACTGAATTATTGATATGGATAATCCCTAAACATAGTGGCCAGTTAAGTCAGGTATGCACGCAGAGCTCTGTGCATGCAGGGCTTTCCCCTTCCTCTTCAATGATCAAGAAAATGCTCTACACTGGCAATGGGAATCCACACGTGTGCCAAGTGTTTCCCTTCAGAGAATGGGGAAGTCCTATGCAGGACAAGGCCCTATTGTGGGCCTGCAGGAAGCAACTAATATAGCAGTTTGACATGCTGAATTGTGAAGATCGTTTAGAAGTACACTTGTGGTCTTCTCTTCACTTTGTATTTTAATGAGCCATACCGCACCTGAAAGAAAAAAATGGCATGGAAGATTTAGATACAAAGAGCAAAATCTGGTGCAAAATTTGTAAAACTGGCTATTTATTTTCTGTCAGGAATAGAATCAAGCATAAGGACATGAATGAAAGTGTTAATCCAATTATGTGCAATAAAAACAGCTTCAGATCATTAGCAGCCTTTAAAAACTGCCAGTCTGTGCACAGGGGTAGCCAATATGGTGTCCTTCACATGTGGTTTGATTACAGCTCCCACCATCTCTGAACATGCCAGCTGATAGTAGGCCAAAACATCTGGATGGTTTTATGTTGGTTACCCCAAATGACCACTACAGAACACACAACAAGGTTGATGCATACAGTACAGTCATCAAGAGCTATTGCACCCCCTTCCCATTTTTATTTCCCTTAGCATATGAATGATTTGACAAAATACTGAACAGAAAAACCTGGCAAAGCAGGACATGAAGAAGAAACAGATAAAAACAAATATATTTGAAAGCTGGAACATATTAATGCTGTGTGAATGTCACTTAAACCACAATTCGAGAGATCCGGAGCCAACTGCTAGAGCAGCAATCTCCCTCCCTCCTAGGGAAAACATGTTCCCCCTTCCAGCTTCAGCATAACTCAGAGGGATTTCAGCATTATTCCTTTAAGCAGGGGTTGAACCCACATGTTCATTCAGTTCCAACTTACCCTGACCTATGGTACAAGAGAAGGGGGAATGCAGTCCTGAGAGGGAAGGGAGTAGAAAGAATGAGCAGGGGGCTCCCCATTGCTTAACCCAGCCTTCCTCAAGCTGGTGTCCTCTAGATTTTGTTGGGACTCCAATTCCCATGGGCATCATGCTGGGGAAGGCTGCTTAACTACTGTTAAAAGGCAACCAGTGCATCACTGAGAAAACGTTCATAGGTGAAGACTGCCAGATGCACCTTTTGAATTATAACACTTTGAACATCCAACTATGGTAGCATGATGAGCCAACAATTAATATTTAAAGGCCGTTTGTATTATGAAAAAGCTTTAATAAAACCTTATTTTGAAAAAAGAAAGGCTATGTTTCAAAATATTCCCCCAGAAAGGCATAAAACACGGGGGGGGGGGGGGGGAGAGTCTCTCTTCCAGGCAGCCTTAGAATCACCAAAAAAATCAGCAAAACAAAAAGATGTCAGTAACAACAGTGGAAAAAGCTGCATAAAACACACATTTTGTTGATCTGGTTCTTGCTGCAGAGCAAGCTGGAAATATTCAGCTTATTAGGTGTTATGTCATGTGCCCATTGTCAGAGACATGGCCTGGAGCAGCTACCCCACTCTGCTGGGGGCAGAATGGTCTGGGAGGGTTTCTGGCTAACAGGACTCTGAACTGCAGGACACAAAGGGACATCAACAAAATGGCTTCCAAGTGCCCTCACCAACATTGTGGAGCATGAAGGTTGTCTTGGTACTCTAGTGACCTTCATGTGATAAACAGGAAGATCAACTGCTCGAGCGCAGATAGCATAAATTCTTATCTGAACCTAACCAAACAGGAGTGAGAGTGCATTACTGCTGTCCATCAGGAGATCTGGAGTGAGGTGTTGCCAATATGTAAATGACACACAGCTCTATTTCTTTGTACCATCTGAACACAGAACTTTATATTACTAAGTAGAGATGTACTTGCCTCCTTGCGGCCTTTGATAGTTTTTACCGATTTCATACTTTGTGTTCGCCGGAGACCTCTCTGAGTGAACGTCTCATCCTCTGAATATGTCCCTTCCCTCTCCTCATCTGTTTTATCATCTTCAGAATCTTTTTTTAATGGAATAGTGTAACCTGAGATTGCAAAGTTGAAAGTTTGTTAAATTATAAATCATTGGCATAAATTATCTTTAAATAAGGTGAATATTGGGGACTAGACAAAGCTGGACTGTTCTGATAAAATCTGCAGGAACAAGGCTTTCTCAATTTCCAGTAAAATAACATGGTTGTATTCATCCACTGCTTGCTTTATACAAAATTTAATGGGCAACATCCAATATCAGTTATCACATGATCTAGCAAAAACAGAAACATCCCAATTCTTTTAGTAATATACAAACCTAAAGTTTCATTGGTGGTGGAGCTTCTGCTTCTCTTTTTTGTATCAGGTAATGTTTGGTAGTGTCTTTGTCCCACTGGTTCATCACCTTGTATAGCAGTTAAGTCATGCATACTGAAACTCCGCAGCTTTTCAGTTATTGCCCCTTGACCCTGAAAAATTTAGGGGAGGGGAGGGGAAAGAGAAATGTTTCAATAGGAAAAGGATCATTTTCCCCCAAAGTTTATTTGTAACTGTCAAAATACAAATTGTACTATTACAAGGCATCACATGCAGTGCTTCTATTTCCATCAAGCATATTGTGTTCTTTTGTGTAGCACCTTGCTTAAACATAAACTTAAAACTTCCATAATACAAAATTTACACTAGTAAACCAATTTATAAAATCACATTCTCTCTTTAAAAATAATGCCAGATGTTCTGCACAAATGGAGGTTTCCCAGTTTTGTATTAGAGCTGAACTGCATTGTTACACTCCCGGCTGTAGATTAAGGGAGTGACAACGCAATTCTACATACATCTTCCACTGAATAATTCTTGTTGAAATCACTGGAGCTTATTCCTGATCGTGCTGTAACTATTGCACTATAGCACATGTACAAGTGCCTCTACGGAAATGGAGCTGCAAAAAATACACCTGGAAAAACTCTATCCCTTGTCAACCTTAAATAATTATAAGGGGCATGTAAAGTTCTGGGCAAGCTGACAGTTTTGAATGCAACAAATAAGATTTCTTATCTAGCAATGCTTCCAAGTGTCAAAATGACACCTGTTGTTGTTTTTTAAAAAAAGTATGGGGGTGTGTGCGCACGCACATGTGCAAGACAGGGCTGAAGCATGCAAGTGCATGTAGCACCTGCAATAGTTTCTATAGTCTGTGAACAAGCCTGTGCAAGCCTGAGGCTCCTGCACTTCTCTCTCTGCTTTTTCCTCTGGCATGTGTGTAAGAAGGTTTTTTGGATACTTCCACTTCCATTTTAGATTAACTGCCACTTGTTGCGCTGCCCAAACCCAGCCATGGTTGGTTTGAAACAAAACAGCTTGTTTTAAATCGAGCCAGAGTTTTAGATTAATTACAGTTTAGGGTTCAGAGGAAAGACTAAACTGTGGTTAATTGGAACAAAAGTTTCTGATTTGCTCCTCACACAGCTGCACAAGAAGTGGTGGTGGTGGGAATGCACAAGTCTTGAGGCTCGGACAGCCTCATTCCTAGTCATTAACAAGGTTTATCATGAGATCCATCCAAGTTGTAGAAGCCAAAGTGACAAAAGTGTACTAGTAAGGCAATGCAGAAAACCAGCAGTAAAAATGTAAGTAGAAAGCCAGTAGAAGCACAGTATTCAGTGTTTTGCGCTACGTACCACATGTATTTGCCCAGCTAGTCAGCACAGTGGTACCTCCGGTTGCGGATGGGATCCATTCCGGAGCTCCGGTTGGATCCTGAGGTTTCCGCAACCAGAGGGACCGCTTCTGCGCATGCAGCAAAACCTGGAAAAATACTTCTAGGTTTGCCGTGTTCACATCCTGAAGGATACGCAACCAGAGGTGTGCTTATCCAGAGGTACCACTGTATTGGCTGTGCAAAGGGTCCCCTGTCATGTAACTACTTTGTAGATACAGAACACATGAAAGTACTTCATACACAACACTCAATTTATGGAATTGCTTGCCATAATACGCAGTTATAGCTACAAGCTTAGATGACATTAAAAGAGATTAAACAAAATCATGGAAAATTGGTAAATCAATGGATACTGGCTACCACAGCTAAACAGAGCCTCAGTGTTCAGAGGTGCTGGGATGTACAAGTTGCTGTTGCTTTCATGAATTGCTTGTGGGCTTCCTGGAAGTATTTGGCTTGTTACTGTTAGAAACAGCATTCTCAACTAAAAGCATTTCCCTCCATCTTAAGTGTAAGTCAGGACCATATCAAATACCCAACCCAGATTACTCATTTTTGTGAAATTCTATTTAGCATCTGGATCACAATTTCTGTATGAATAAGCCCCCATATATTAAAAATAGTCCTATAATTATGTACTTACTCTGATAATTTTTACAGCTCTCCAGCTTTTATAGGCCTCCAGTTGTCAGGGAACAGCATCTTTGACCCAACTAGCTTCCTATCCTATATTGCCTTTAATTGTGTCCTCCTGTCATACAGGATCTTTAATGCAGCCAACCCAACTGTGCCTCATATATCCATTCCATCTGGTACAATCTCCTGGCCATAAAGTTCCGAATTTTCTTAAAATATAATTACTGAATTTACACTTAAGCATGCAAGCTCATACAAGTTACCTTTTCCTTATTTATTTTAAGCATGCAGATGGTGACTTTCCTTGCTGTAAAACTTCCATGTGCTAAATTAAACAGTTCGGCCCACGTGAATTAATTCACTAACAGGACCAGCAATCCTTTCAAGCACATTTGGGAGAAATTTGGTTTAACAAAGGGCTGCAGTTATGGCTGACAAAGTAGCCTTATGCCATTCATTTTCTTGTTTTCAGCTGTCAACACATTAGTACTGTAGTAACATCCTTAGAGGTTGCATGATATATAATAACCTGTTTAAACATAGATCTGAAACATGGTATAAATGGTCAGAACTTCTCATACAAATCTTTGTCCTTGAACAAAAAGCTACAAATTGGCAGTAACCAAAGGCCGTTATGAACCTCTGTAGATAAACCAGCAGAGGAATCATCTCAGAACACTAAATTATGTATTTGGAAATATAATGGTCTTCATTAAACAGCTAGTTCTCAGGAGAAGAGTAAATAGACAAAGCATGGCCAAATATAAAATACTACATATGAAAGTGAAGTGAGGAGCTACTTTGGCTGCATACCATCAGCAGTTTGCAGCATTTGAAGTTGAGGAAATGAAACCTTGAGAATAGCAGGTACAGCAAAAATGGAAGCCATAAACAAGCCAAATAGGACAAAAGCTGAACATTATGGCCCTACATTATTGTTTTCTTTCAATAAATTGAGCTCCAACGTTCAGGAAAATCCTGCCTTGATCAAGACTCAAGAGAGGAAGGTTAGGTCTCATGTCTCAGCCTTAGGAAATCCTGGATGTGTGGTTTCTCTGCGTTTGTTAGAACACAGTGGTCACATCAAACCAGGCTACTGCCAATTCAGAAAGAACTGATGAGGTAGACATAACACTAAGCCATAGTTTAAAATAAAAAAGAGCCACAGCAAGTCATGCGCTCACATACTCTCTCCCTGGTGCAGATGTGAGTGTGAGTGCACATATGCCAAAGACAGGCATGATTTGATCAACTGAGGCCTTATGCAGTTAAGCAATTTCCCCTAAGAATGGCAAATTCTGCATACCCTTGCCAACTAGTAATTATTCCTCCTCAGAATCTCATCTAGTGTCAATTAAAGCAATAGCTATTTCCTGAATAAAATGGCCGTGTGCAGAATTTGAATAGTTGTTTACCAAGAATATCTGACAACCAGTTCAAACGTTATCCTGCTGCCTAAACACAACACACAGATTATGGCTGTTTGAAAGCTTTTCGCTTGGCAGCACTCCTTGAGGAGTGGTAACAATCTCAATTATTCTTAGCACATCAAACCCAAAAGCATGGGCCACTGAAGTGCTGTACAGACATTTCCACTCATATGCAAAGTTTTAGACTAGAAATGGGGTACCTGTAGCCTTCCAGATACTGCTGCACTACAACTCCCATCATCCCTGATCACTGGCTATGCTTGATCTAAGGCTATGTCCAGTGTCCTGCTGCCAGCTGCAAGTTCATCAGGTATCTGCTACGAGTAAGGCCTTTGCGGCGGCAGTGTCAATTTTATAGAATACTCTCCTTAGGGTTTCAACAACTGATTATTCTGGCACAAGGTTCATCTGGTTTTTTTTAGGAAGGATTTCAGCCTGACTGCTCTGACATATCCATGCCTTGCTGCAAGCTGGTTTTTCCTGCTCTACTGATTTGTTTTTGCTTCTCTTGTAATATCTAATGTGAATCTGACTGTTTAAATGTTCACATTTCTTGTTCTGAGATTTCTTTCACCTTGAGGAAAGTGAAACAGAAGGGCAGGGGCTTTGCTCTGAAGATACCTCTTTAAAGTTAGCCAGATATATTTTTAAGCATTTCCACTACCTTTTTGTTTCTGATCCATTGACTGCTGGTGAAACTTGTCTACAAAGCATTGCTACAAGTATTGGGAAGGTTACACTTCTACTAGTTGCAGTTATAATTTCCTAGAAATATGAAAGACAGGGAGAAAAGAGTAAGCTACCCTTCACTAATGCATGGAAATTTACTGCAGGCAATGTCCATCTTGTTCAACCTGTCTTGTACCATTTATTCTAAGCACATCTTTGATTGGAGGTGTATAGATTCTCCTTTTATATTGCTATAGTTACAAATGTTGACTTCATTAGTGTCCATTACCTACATGCCTGAATTACAGGAAGAGCCGAGAAGCTTATTACTTAGACACCTCACAGAAAGTCAGGAGCACACCTTTTGAGTCCAAGTGCAGCAGCCCAATTAAATTCATGTTTTCCAATATCACACAACTCTAAGCAAGAACAGTTATGGTTCAAGTTCATGTAGTGAATTAATATTTTATTCTGAAAAAGGTAAAGAGAATTCAGTGGGGATTCATATTAATTTGCCAACTCATATGTACTGTAGCACTGCTTCATGCTTTAATTTCCATGAACAATTACCTCAACTTGATTGAAGGAAAACAGCAGAAAGAAGCCAGAAATCCTACGGAGTGTGATTACCAGCAAGAAAAGGCAACAAGAGAGAAAGAAAGGGTCATCTTCACTATTTTTTTAAAAAATCATAATATAGCTAGTGTTTAAGAGAGGACATACTTTTAGAACATGCTGTTAGAAAAAAGTTATCCAACTTAATATGCAATGTATTTTTATAATGAACGGTTAAGTAATATTTTACCTTTACAGCTGCTGTCACTGCAGCAGTAGCAGCTAAATTTAAGCCTTGTTTACCAAAGTTAACCATTGTTTCATAACCGCGTTCTTTGGCTTGCACAATATATTCATCAATCTCCTAAGGGGAAAAACAGGCAAACAGTGTGGACATTAATCTAATTTGACATAACATTCTCAGTGTTAAATACAAAGTACTAATGCAAGTTTCTCCTCCCCGCCCCGCCCCACCCCACTTGAATTAATTTTTTTAATATTATGGAATAAATTATTTTAAAAACACAAAGAGAGGAATGTCTCACCCTTTCTCTTGAAGAAAGAAGAGGATGAAGAAACTTCCTATATATTAAACTTGCTCCTCTAGTATATGGAGAGAGCAACCAAATAACAAATGCAATCTTCAACTCGTAGTACAATGGAAACCTGCAAAACAAATCAGAATTCAAAATTGGGTTCTGTTATTTTAGAAACAGGTACATTCCTTCTAGATTAGAAAGCTCTGGATGATATTGAATAATAACACGTTTTAATCAAAAGCTTTTTTTGGCTTTACTTTAATTATCTATAATCCTTAATCTAGTTTTACATATTACTGCTATTTTATAGCTCTACCTTTTTCAGAACTAGCATAGGATAATTCGGATAAAGGGTATGTCACACTATAAACTACAATATGTCAAAACACAATTGGAATTGTAACATTATGCTCTGAACCCAAACATATCTTACCAAGATATCATGAGGTCTGTTATTGTTTCAGTAACAGTATAAAGAGCAAACACAATCCAGTACATCATCCACCGCACCTGAAAAGGAAAGATGTGACAACCATTTTAATTTCCAATACATCAATGACAGGAACACAGGATACAGATTTTGCAATGATTTAAACTATGCTTACTTGCTGCTTATATTCATATGTTTTAGAAAGATGGGAACCATAGGTAGCAGACAGCAGCTGAAAGAGTCAGAACCTTTCTGATATACAGCCCTTTTACTCTAGCTTAAATCAAAGCAGCTCTGATAGTCTGACCAACTTCTGCCGGAAAAGGAACAAAACAACCTATTTGGAAGAAGCAGCTATTGTTTCACTACCATGAGTTAAATCATACAACATGGAGAAAATACCCCCAATTCCATCGCTTTCCTTAAAATGGGGACTCGAAAAGTAGCACCACTGAGAACCTTTAAATATAATTCTCACTGGTTAAGCAAGCTGCAGAAAGTGATACATGTCCATTTAAGCTAGTGTTGGCAGTAGCAGTACACAGTACAGGACAGATGGATAGATGGGTATCTCCACCAAAATAAAATTTTATATCAAATTAATTTTGTGAGAGTGCTGATAATTTTGTGTTAGTGTCAGATGGAACCCTACTCATTTTGTATCACAGGACTGTTGCTGACCCGATAGCTATAATATAACCTATGGCAATCTATACAGTCCAACAGTTCCAGCCCTTAGCAAGCTACCAGATCCCTGCAAAGTGGTTTAGCTGGGTCCCATCGCCTGTGTTCAGTTTGAGACCTCCAGCATCCTAAGGTAAAGGGACCCCTGACCATTAGGTCCAGTTGTGGCCAACTCTGGAGTTGCGGCGCTCATCTCGCTTTATTGGCCGAGGGAGCCGGCGTACAGCTTCCGGGTCATGTGGCCAGCATGACTAAGCCACTTCTGGCGAACCAGAGCAGCGCACGGAAACGCTGTTTACCTTCCCGCCGGAGTGGTATCTATTTATCTACTTGCACTTTGACGTGCTTTCGAACGGCTAGGTTGGCAGGAGCAGGGACTGAGCAACGGGAGCTTACCCTGTTACGGGGATTCAAACTGCTGACCTTCTGATCAGCAAGTCCTAGGCTCTGTGGTTTAACCCACAGCGCCACCCGCGTCCCTTTCCAGCATCCTATACAGAGGCTAATCAGAGCTATCCCTCGCTCCAGTGGGTAGGCTTATACTTTATGAGCAAAATATCCACTGGCATGCTATACTCACTTAATGATACCGTGTTCCAATCCAGTTCAGAAGTTCATTATCTTGCTTTAAAAAGACACAGAAACACACCAGTCCAAATCACTGTTCCATCACTGACCCACTGACTCTATAGAGACTGGCAGTAGCTTTCCATAGTTTCAGGTGCAAGTCTTTCCTAGCTCTACCTATGACTTTCTGCAAACAAAACATGCTCTCCTATAAAGCTATAGCCCTTCTCCAAATAAGTCTGTGGCCTGTGCCTACAACCCCTTTGCATGAACTGTGATTGAACCACATTCTCTAACCAATTTCCCATTTCACCCATTTACCAATTCTGGAACAAGACAGACTCTTTAAAACAGTTTTGAACCACAGTTTCAAGATTTTGACTTGTTCTGAACTTGGTAGGCATGGTCTCCCTGTTCTAAAGAAAGGGGAAAGTGTGATTAGAGACTTCCTGATTTAAATCACAGCTTATGAAAAGGGTGTGTGTATGGGTGTATCTTGTTCAAATCTCAACCTAAGTGAATATATAGTCATTCAAGTGTGATCAGTAAGTGGACCAGACAAAAGAATCTGAATGCAGAAGCACAGACTGGATGAAATGTCATGGAGAGTCTCCCTTAAAATGTGCTTTTAAAGAGAGCGCAGATTCTCAAAGCATGCGATGGGCAAGAAAAGCGTCTGTAGTCACTATTTTTGCCGCTTGAAAAATGAACTGCAGTATGAAGTCCAAGGATTTATTCCCATAGGATATTTTAATCTGTCTCTTTTACATTTCCTACACACATTTATGTCATGCTTGGTAATTTAGAGGGTTACCAGAAGGGATCTATTGCTAACTACGCTATACAAACCACTACAAAAATAGCCAGATGCCATTTCCCCGTTAAAACAAAGAAATACATAAATAAGTACTGGGTTTCAATTTATAATAAAAGTTATGCTCTAGTTGTTTAAAAAGCAATTCTCAAAGTCAGGTTGTTATCCTGCTTCCAAATGCATGAAGTACAGTTTTTTGGAGCAAAGCATTTTTCTCTAGCTTATTAGCCTGACACTTCTAATCCCAGTTCTCCACAAGGCAGACCATATCAAAATGCCACCATACTAAAAAACAAAAAATTGAAAGACACAGCACTACTGAATTTAAAGAAAGAAAGAAAGAAACCAATTTTCAAAGCTAAAAAAAAAAAAGGCTTTTGTAAAACTACAAGTTGTAATTTACATAGTAGATCAATTAATTACCATACTTTTCCGTGTATAAGACTAGGGTTTTTTTCTAAAAAATAATGTTAAAAGGGGGGGGTAGTCTTATACACGGAGGCAATCTCCCCCCATTTTCTTAATTTTGAGTCCCCCAAAATAGTCTTATACACAGTGCTGTTTAATACACGGAAAAATACGGAATATCTTTAGCCGATTAACTAGCGGGGGTGTTAATCAGCAAGGACATGTTTTTATTTGTGATGTGTAAACTTACTTAATCACCCAGTTGAGCATTAAATGCATTTTATTAATCAACTAAAAGTTATTTAGACGGCTGACAGCCTTACGTAATCAATTTTAAAATTACACCATTGAACTCATAGTTGTATTTTCCCTTGGAGCAAACTTCGCTCACTTTATTTTTTGAAATTCCTCAGGTTCAGACAGATTTCTTAGCATTTCAGACTGAACAGAGCACCAGTCATGTGATGATATCCTAAGCTTAATTCCCAAAGGAATTAGAGGGTATTTTAAGCACGAGTGAACAGAGTTAAATTAGTGTACATGCCAGCTGAAGTTACTACACTGATGGGCTGTCTTCATCTGAAAAAAATTGACCTTCATGTGAACTTCCATAGACTGAGCAGAATGCTTTAATGCAGAGGAAATGGGGAAGAATAGCAGAGGAAATAGGGGGAAATGCTTTAGCTCTAAAACTTAAGGGTAATTCACTGGCATTGTTAATCATCCTAGTGTAGTGTTAGAAACTGAGGTATGAAAGCTCGGAGCTAAATGGCACCTTAAACCTAGGTTATGGGCACCGCAATCAAGTGTCTAGGTACGCTTTTTAATAACAAGAATACAAAGCTGAAAATGAATGAACTGCAGCTAAAACCTTATGTTCATTTTTCACATGGTCTAGTCCTCATCTGAAGACTGCAAAAAAACAAAGCCATACTCCCCCTGCCCTCCCCTCTAATATTCTTATGAGGGTCCCTTCTCCAGTCTGCAGAGAATGGCTGAAGTAGTGAGGCAGAAAAAGGTCCTTTCCTTCCAGCAGTGGCAGTTTTAATCTGAAATCTTAGGTGCAGTACTGTGCTCAGAGCTCAGAAACTGCTTGCATTAATGAAATTCCCTGTTGCAAAACGCGCCTAGCACAATGAGAGTTTTGAACACTGCCCTAGTGATTCCATGGAGCCATATTTTGTGGGTTGCACAATTTTAAAAGAAAAAATATTTATTGGTAAAGTGTTCTTTGCAGGGCTAAAAAGAATGTTTCTGATCATTTGGGGCAATGAAAAATCTATTATTAATGCATACTAACATACTATCCATAAAAAGACCATATCAAGAAAGATTTATCTCCTAAAAGGAATCAAATCCGATTTTTTAGAAATATGTAAACATGAAGATTTTTTTCTCAGGTGTCAAGAATTTATATTCTGATGGAAGACATGCTTGCTTATTAGCGCATGATTTCTGAATTTGCATGTGCTAGGGTGTGCTCTGAAGGCATGAGACCTGGATGAATGACCACCTAGGAACCACAGGTTCCATGACTGAAGAAAGGTGAGGTGTACATTTAAGAAAATATATAAATATGAATGTTTATATTTAAATCATCAACATAGAGCAATGATAGATTAGATGTACTGCTGCAGGAGAGGATAACTTATGGCATTCCAGATGTTGTTGGGTTGTGACTCCTGCAAGAAAAGTAGCAATGCCAACTCTTTACCCCACTCAACTAAATTCACAAACTTAAAAGTCTCATGAATTTCAGTCTCTGTTCTCTGTACTTATATTATTCCATTTTATATATACTTAAGGGGGGGGAAAACTTAAGGGTAAAAAGCTTTAAATGCCAGGCGTTGATAATTACATTTGAGAAGTTAACATTATTATGTTCACGTATTACCAATAATTATTTGAACTAAACTGCTAGTGGAAAGGGGATTTGTGGAAGAGAGTCTGTTTTAAACAAAGAGACATGCTTCCTTAGAGAACTCGTTTAATAATTCAGTATTTCAAGCAGTGCCTGCTTGGGGCAATTACAAACTCAACATCTTGGATGACAAGCTTGCTAATTCAGTCTCGAGGAACTAAAGTTCACCTGGCAAGTTAAAGCAATAATTCAGTTTCACATGCGGAAGGTTTAGCTGGCCCCATCTCATTAGCCGTGCTCATATAATCATACACAGCAAGATGGGGAACCTCCAGATGTTGATGGCAACTAACTTCAATCAACTCCAATCAGCATGGCCAATGGCCAGTGGTGACTGGAGCTATAGTCAAACAATATCTGAATGGCTAAAGTTTCGCCATCCCCAATATACACATACTAGTTCAAATAACGGCAATGTACAGTATTTACACGGCATTGAAACAGGGAACCATGGTGAAGTACTTCGAAATAAAATACTGGCTTATTTTCCTGGCATGTTTGGAAGCATTGTGCCATAGTTCCCAGTTCAGACGTAACTGAAAATAATGTCTGTACTGAATCCTGGGGTGTTTTTGCTACCCATGTAAAGGAAGACTATAGAAGCAGGAAAGGGGTTATATGTGGTTGAACTCCACTCATGCATATCCATGATTATTAAGTGAACAATGAAAACTTAGTAAGACATCCTAACAAGACCAAAGCATATGCTTGCCTTGTCTCCTAAATTCTTGCATAATCTGTATATAGATTGTGTTGGTTGAAGTTCTACTAGTAATTAACAGGTGATAAATCTTTGTTTTTTTAAAAATAGTTTGTGCTTGCCCTCTGAGAATTTGAACCACAGTAAAGCTGTAGGGAAAGTCTCAGATGCAAAGCAGGGAAGCATTTTAATTAATTTTTAGAGCAAGAATATACAACTTGTACAAAATGTTGTTTTAAACTTTAAAAACCACTTGGTATGGGTCACAAGAATCAAAGACCTTTAATCTTCCTAGATTGGAGAAGATTTGTCAGCTCTCTGCTATCTCGGATAAGGCTGTCAAAGTGTTTATTCCCTTGTAAGACAACATCCAAGGGATGAAAAGAGCACCTCCAGAATAGTTCCTATGTAATCTCACCTTCAAGGACATACTATCTGCTCTAACTAAATTTGTCAAAGTTTAATGTTTTGTGAAGGCTGTGTGGAGAAAACTTGTTCTCAACATGATTCAACCAAGGTGATAACAATTCTGACTCCCTTGTTTTGAAGGAGAGCTTCAGATCCCCATTTCTCAAACTGGAAGGTGCGTTGTTCCTGGAGAGGAATCGACAGCTGCATTGAAAAAGACATACAAACAAGCCCACCCGCCAAAAAACACAGAAACCAAAAAGAAAACACCACTAGGCAGAAGATCACAGATTCCAACTCATTCAACTACATAAAGACTCTCATAAAATTGGACATAATAGAACTTAAGAAACTGCATATTTGCACTCTTCCAATTTCAGTCAAGGCACACATTGGAAATAGTTACCTCATTGCCTTCCACTTCAAGTTTAACTGGTTGTAACAGAACAGATTCTAATTTTATTTTTTTCATAAGCAGGAGACATGAAAAAGTTTCTGCTTAAGTAGGTGAACAAAGACCTCTTTCATTAAGATCAACTAAGGCTGCAATCCTACACATTTTTCTCTAAGAGTAAGCCTGAATTCAGCGGTCCTTACTTTTGAGCAGAAATGTAATGGATAGGTTTGCACTATAGAAGTTTGAGTCTTACTTCCACTGACTGTACAGCGTACCTATTCAAAAATCCAAATCTTGGCTAGGCGGAGTCTTCCTCTCCCCGCAGATGGGAGAGTGAAAGAGGGAGACACATGACCCTCTAGGTCAGTGCACAATGTAATAATATGCAGCATGGCTCTCAGCCTTCCTAAGGTGGGTTGGCTTCACAGGAAAAGTATACCCTATACCACAATTAAGGTTGGCAGAAGGAAATGTGCATCAAATTAGGGAACAGCTGACACTGTTCCCTAGACAGTGTTCTCTACACTGACGCACTCAAGTATGAATTAGGATCACAAGGTGTTACAATAAATTATTGTCTGCTGTTCACAAACTTGTGCAGTAGCAGTATATGAGACGGGATGGAACCACCCACTCAGCACCAGTGTTGCTGCTGATCACCTCAGTGGGGCTGGGATATGAAGGCAAAAAGATTGGGACCATGCAGTTGCCCCGGTGGGACTGCCATCATCAATCCAGCACTTCTGCTGGTGCAACTGCTCAGTCTCGGTCTCACAGCTGTCATGTCCCAGTCAGTGTTAGAAACTGAGATATGAAAGCTAGGGTCTAAATGGAGCTTAAACCTAGGTTATGGGCACCGCAATCGAGTGTCTAGGCACTTTTTTACAACAAGAATGCAAAGCTGAAAATGAATGAACTGCAGCTAAAACCTTGTGTTCATTTTTCACATGGTCTAGTCCTCATCTGAAGACTGCAAAAAACAAAACCATACTCTCCCTGCCCAGCCCCTAATATTCTTATGAGGGTCCCTTCTCCAGTCTTCAGAGAGTGGCTGGAAGTAGGGAGGCAGAAAAAGGTCCTCCTTTCTTTCCAGCAGTAGCAGTTTTAATCTGAAATCTTAGGTGCAGTACTGTGCCCTGAGCTTAGAAACTGCTTGCATAAATGAAATCCCCTGTTGCAAAACGCGCCTAGCACAATGGGAGTTTCGATGCTGGTCCCAGCCCCATTCAAGTGAGCAGCAGCATCACCAAACATACCACTGAACTTGAGACCGTATGACTTTTGATGAAGCTGTGTTGTATCACACCACAAATGCAACTCAGTAATACAAAAATAGCACAACAAAACTTACGTATTCCTTCACGTTTTTTGTCTTCACAGCTTTGTATGAATAATATGCAGGATACAGCATTCCAAAAACCAGCCTGTTGGAAAAAAATACAAGTATTTAGGTTTGACAAGAAGGGCACAATAAATAAACAATGAATCTGTAATATTGCATGAGAAAGAAAAAGAGATAAACTGGTTTTTCCAGTCTCTTCAAAAGCAAACTTTGACAACACAAGATAACCTAATGAACAACTGCTTCAGTTAACAGGACTATCCCATCTGAAGTCTGTATGAAGTTTATTTCAGTGCTAACCTATGAACCAATCTTAACAAAAGTTCCAACATAATCCTGTCTATGGTCTCTGTTTATTGCACTGGATTGGCCTCTGTAATTGGCCCTTCTTAACTTCACTATGAAATACTTCCCAAATATTATTTCTTTGGTCAAAAAAATGGTTGACTGGGGATTGTCTTTGATGCAGATCTTTAAGGTTGGCTGCTTTGATTAAGAAGGAAGTATTTCAAATTCAGTCATATACACATTTCTTGTTCTGCATAGTGAGTTTATTTTAAAAAACCTGAAAATATTGGCAAACATGATTTAATCTATTAGACTTTTAATACAGATTACCCCATTACACAACCTGCAGTAAGACTTGCATATTTGCCATTCCTACAGAAACACGCTTACATTTGGATTTTCCCCAGTGGCTTTTGCATTGGGAGCTAAACCATTAAACTGGCTGTTGCCAGCAGTGCAAGTGATTTATATGACCTGCAGAGCTCTTAAGGTAGAATTTAATGGGTAGCACAACAAGAATATAAAAGTTTTACCTATTACACATAACACTTACAGATAGAAAACATAGAATAACTACTTTGAAGCTCGACAAAACACGAATCTTATTTGTTTAAGCCATGACTTAGTTAAAAATCAGCTTCATTAACTACACCCCCCCAATCCCCTCCAAACTGGTGCCAAAGTTTTGCAATTGTTTTGCAGCATTTTGCAGCACAAACCCCACATTTTGCAGCACCCCCAAAACTGAGCAATTGATACTCAAAATGGGGGTCATAGGTATCACCCCCAAACCCAACATTCTCTGTTCTGCAGTGCAAACCCCATGTTTTGCAGCCCATCCCCCAAAAGCACAGAAAGCAATACAGTATATCAAACTGAGGCTATTCCAAACCAATGCAAAAGTTATTGCAATAATTCTTTCTACAGTACCCTGAAAACTGTTTATGCTGGGAAATGATTGCAAAATTTTGCTACAGGTTTGGAGGGGACCCAAATTTCAGCATTTGTAGTTAAGGAAGCTTCGTGAATGTGCTACAACTACAAATAATAGAAATGCATGAAGGTAAACAAATCTGTTCATCTATCACTTAACATATTTGGCAAAGTGAAAGGAGCTTTCTTTTCCTTTCCTGCATGTCTTCACAAATATCTCTAAAGGGCAGAGATTCTAGTACGTTACAGCTGTGTATGTACACACACACACACTTGCCGCAATTATTTACAGAGGTATCAGGTTTACTCTTTGCTAACTAGCGTATATAGCAAATGTAGCCCTATGAGAGAATATTGTCTGTTTATCTAAAGACTTCGGTACTCCAAGCTAGTTGGATGAATGAAGTATTTCTGTAGGCATAAATATTCATACAGTGGTACCTCGGGTTAAGTACTTAATTAGTTCCAGAGGTCCGTACTTAACCTGAAACTGTTCTTAACCTGAAGCACCACTTTAGCTAATGGGGCCTCCTGCTGCTGGAGCACGATTTCCTGAAGCAAAGTTCTTAACCTGAGGTACTATTTCTGGGCTAGCAGAGTCTGTAACCTAAAGCGTATGTAACCTGAAGTGTATGTAACCTGAGGTACCACTGTTTATATTAACTATTGTATGCACTGTAGCAAAAGCTCTGGGATTATTTTTGAAACATACTAGGGGCAGCACTACTGTAAAATAAGCTATATCACAGTTCAATTAACAAAACATCGTACAAAGACAAAAAATGCTTGCTTTTTATATTGAAGACACTACGTTGACTTTTAGCTGGCATTAAATAAAATACCGTTTTCAGTCAAACTGTTTCAGCTGATTCTAATTATATTACACACTGCTTTTTAATTAATAGACTTGTTTACAAATGTATGTAGTGCCATTTGAGTTCATGGTTGTTTTCTTTCTCCAGCTTTATAAAACACAGTGCTTTCTCTGGAATGGAGACAGAGATTTCTAAATAGAATATACATTCATCAAATATAATAAATATTTATATTCAAATTGAAGTGTGAGGTTTTAAGTATCTAGTCATTCTACAGCCTGCAGTTCTCTATATACTGAACATGTTAATAGGGGTGCATGGAAGCAGCTTGCAATGGAGATAACTCTGGCAGCAGACAAACCAATAACAAGGTAGGCACACAATCATGGCAAGAAACTCAACTGTAGATGTGAAAGGATTATTATACCGGTATCACATTCATGTCTTTGTAAAGTTAGGTTAACTAAATTTATATACTGCTTTCCACAACAAAGGTCTCAAAGTGATTTAGAACCAAGGAAAAATGCAAGGTAGTATTAAATGTAGCAATAAGGAGATCATATGGTCAGTGTAAGTGTTTCTCAAGGAGAGTTTGGGAAGGGGGAAGGGTTGCTTGGGGGGAGGGAGCAAGAAGTCCTATTGTGCTAGCATAAGGTTACTAGATTTTTTTCAATGAATCCGGGGAAACTTTTCAACTTCCTACTAAATAGATGGATTTTGTCAGGGGACTGATTTGTAAATCCGGGGCCTGTCCCCAGGAAACGGGGACGTCTCGTAACCTCATGCTAGAGGGCATAGTTGTGCTGGTTCAGCTAGTACAATGATTTGGTTAAATACAACCCACAATAATAAAACCCCAGCTTTAATATATTAGAAGCAGAATTAATAATACAATATCATATCATAGGTGTTGCCCCAAGACTTTGCTTGGTGCCAAACTAGAGAACAAGTCTGTTCTCTCGTTGCCATTCTCCAGACCTCTTTTAGAGGTGGCTCATAGAGAAGGGACTTAGATGATGACCTTGGTAACTGGGCGGGTTCATACAGGGAAAGGCGTACCTTTACATATAGGGTCCCAAGCCTTATAAGGCTTTAAAACTCAAAACCAGCACTTGAATTAGGCTCAGAAACAGAGCGTTATCCACCACACTCATGCCAGAATTTGTGCTATAGCTTCACATTTGAAAAAAAATGCCACATCCATCAGTCCAGACAGGAAGGCGGTTGACCTGCAGGATGAGTGACAGCCCATCAGAATTCCTAATATTTCCTGTTTGCCCAATGAACCAGCACTGAACCAGCACTAAGTCAAATAGGAAGCCTAGGGAAGAAAGAAGACAGCAACTCTGAGCCAAACACTAATGTAACTAAGGGCATGTAGGGGAGACAAATGCCCATAAGGAAATGTGCCCTGTTATAATGTAATAGAAAAGAACATTCAGCATGCAATCTACTGTAGTTCATGTTGTGAGTCTCCAAAACAGGGGATCCATCTCCCTAGTAAGGTTATGTTAGCGTGTGCACTTCACCAGAATAGTCAGGCTTTAGGAGTCACTTTCTTTCAATGAGGAAGTGTTTTTCTGAACTCAAATAGCTAGATACTGTTTAATACTTGGTTGCCATGGCAGTCTGGCGAAACATGCTTTAAATCACCAGATGGCTGATCTTTATACAAAGCAGGTACTGGCAGCACTCCAGTTCTTTCAAGTATTTCCTAAGGCATCCATGTCTGTAGAAAACAGGTCTACCGCAAATGTATGCAATAGTTCACCAGAGGTAGATTTCACATAATGAAATATATGCACTATCCATTTACATTCTTCCCAAACATGTTCTGACAACTGGCCCCACCCACACTAGACACTCAGGTAAGTTCAAGGATTCCATACACCTTACATCAATACAGCAGTTTGCCACAATGAAGAGAATAAAATTCAACATAACAAGGTTTGCTTCTGGTAAACCAGGACCAACTAGGACTTTTAAGATTAATACTGGGCTCCTTTAGAAGAAAATGCCATGTTCTTGATGCACTGGCTAGCATTTTTTTAAAAAATCACCTTTGTGATTATGGCAATTATAGAGGTGTATTCTCCCCACCCAACATGCATATCACGAGAGATGACTAATTCAGTAGGACTGGCAACACATTAAGATATGTTAACTACTCATCTTCTAATCAACAATTAAATATGCACTTTACCAAAGATCAATATAGATGTCTTCCAGGATACTGAAAAGCATAAGTTAACATTCCAAGCAGGAAAATGGACTTTCATTCTTCAAAAGGAAGGATGAGAAACTTATCGCCCTCCAGATTTTTTGAATTCCAATCCCCATCAGCCCTAGGCAGCATGGCAAGGTGAGGGTTGGTGTGACTTTGAGTCCAACAACATTTGAGGGGCCACAAGTCCCCTATACTTGTTTTACAGGAACGTCCCAGTTAAAAAATAATTTCAAAAATCAGACAAGAATAATCTTAGATTGCAATCCTACCAAATAAAAATTACAATCAATTACTTTAATTTACGGGGGCCAATTTATTAACACTAACACTAAATGCATAACCTACAGTGTCCACTGTTACACTGATAGTGATCTTGGGATTTGAAGCAGGAATCTGCCAGGGCAGTGACCTAGCTTAGTGAACTACCTGGGATTGATTGAATGCAGGCCCTCAGATGCTCTCCAAGCACAAAATGGAATGGTGTATAATGTCAGCCCTGGTCAAGCAGTTTATACATACTAGAGTCATTTGCACTCTGCCCTTCCCTAGTAAAAGCACATACTAGGCCTTGAATCAGATACAGCCTCTCAGCCCTGACCTGGCTCTGACATTTACTGCTGAGATTTGTTTACCTGCATTAGTCATGTGCATTTCCTTCTTAGGAGCTAATTCAACAGAACAAAAGCCCAGGGTCAATGCTTTAGGAATCAGCTGGGAATGATAAACAGAGAAGAGGATGCTACTTATTAACAAAGTGACCAAACCATCAATGTGATTCCGCTATCCACATATAAACTTCAGTAGGACTAATGAATTATT